CGAAGTTTAGCGCATATGTGAACTGTAACACTCAGGGGATCAACAACTCGCTTGTGCTCGAGAGTTCAGTGAGTGAGAATGATCCAGGAATACATATGAGTTTGAAATTCGAAGAATCAAAGAAGAAAATTATAAATCCGCCGGAGAAGAAACCGGAGAAGTTGCAAAATGAGCCGAGAGTGAGGAGGAGATGCTTGAGAGGGTTACTTGCGGAGTCGAGTGAGTCCGAGCCGGGGAAGCCCCGGAGACATGGTTGCCGGTTTACTTGTAAAGACAAAGGTATAGAGAATACTTAAAACATTGTGTTTATATTGTATGAAAACACAATAAGAGATTGAACATTTGTATGTAATACCAAATCAAAAAAGACATCTAATATTATCAAAAAAGTGATATGATGGTTCATTGCATCAATGTTGTTAGGAGATTAAACCAAACTCTTAACGAAAACAAGAACACACGAGAGTAATCGCGCATTTCATTATTAGGCGAATAATAGCAAACATAACTCGAGAAGCGTTGAACCACATCACTCGTTCACCTTAGACGCCCAACCAGCTACCACAAACTCTTTCTTAGCCTTGGTTTTCTCGAAAGACTCTCTAGCGAATAAAGCCTCGGCGTACTTACGAACATTGGTCAATATCTCAGGAATAGACCATTTCTTGTAATGACCAAGAGCAACCTCGATATGGTAAAGCTTAGGTGCTAAACTCAGATCCAATGCAGTAACTCTTTCACCAGCTAAAAAAGGACCAGAATGCTTCTTCAGATGGTTATCCAAGGCCTCTAACTCATCAACCAACGCCTTCTCTGATCCGTCATTGGATTCTTTGCTCTTCAAGAAAGTCACAAAAGCACCAAAGATTTTGGATCCCACAGAAGCAAATTCAGGAGGAGTCTTGAGAGATGGCTCCGGAAATTTCTCCTCGAGGATACCAACAATGACATCAGAATCAGCTATCCATTTTCCGTCAAGCTTCATCACCGGAACTTTTCCTTCCGGGCTAACCTCTAAGAACCTATAAACACACACACACAAAAAAAGTCACATGGTTCAGAGAAATCTATCAAAAACCACAGATTTACAAAGGATACAGAATCTTGTGCATACAAAAACAATAGAAAAAAAAACTAAACTTTCCCTTCAGGGCTGTTGTCTAAGAACCTATAAAAACATACAAAAAAAGTCGTATGATTCAGAGAAATCTATCAAAGCCCACAAATTTACAGAGGATACAGATTCTTGTGCCCACAAAAACAATAGAAAAATCGTAACTTTATTGTTTAACAATAAAGGATTTGAAAATCTGTGAGCATATTGACCAATGACCCACATCAACCAATAATCTATTCCAATTTAGAATTTGGGGATTACTCGTTAATGCTAATCAAATTCGTCGATCAAATCGAATCATTGGCTACACCAAAACTTACCACTTGGGTTTCTCGGAGACGTTAATCAGATGGATCTTGTAAGGAAGCTTCTTCTCCTCGAGTGTCAAAAGAACCCTTTGACTAAATGGGCCTGAAGAACATAAGATTTCAACGGATAAATCACAAATCGAAACCCTAATTTTGTGAAATCAAAAGCTTCATGTGAAGAAAAACAAAAGACAGATTCGATGATCGCAGAAAT